ACTTCAACCTATGAATGCGGGGCACAGTACTCAGCCCATATCATGGTAATCAGAAAAATAATCCCAGACACATGCTTTCATTTTGCTTGAAATCAAAAGTAATCGTGTAACTTATGATTTACAATTCACTTTCTGCTTTTTATTTAATATTATTCTGAGACTTTTTGCTTAGTTGTGTTATTACATTACACAATATATATTAAAAGTATTTGTAAATTAACCAAAAAAACTAACTAGGCCCAAAGTCTATACATCTTGATGAACTACTATTCAGTTATGATAGACATTCTGAAGCTGTGGAGCTTCACATAAATTTTAGTGTGAGATGTTTTTGTTTCCAAGATTTTTATTTTATTTTAAATATTTTATTTTAAATATCTTAAATATTTAAATAAAATTTTAAATAAAGTATTTAAATGTCTTAAAATATTCTGTAGATCAGTGTTAATAGTGGCACAGAATTCTACTATAAATGTATATTCTATTAGTTTTTCAGTTTGCTTGTCAATGGAGAGATATTTACATTTTTGCTAATTTTTAAAGATTTTAAAAATTGTTGTGAAGAATATACTGGTAACTGTTTTATTGTCATTGCATTCCTGATGTTCCTTACATGGTAGAATTTCTGAGGAGATATGTGTGTGTGTGTATCTTCATATATATATATATATATATATATATATATATATATATATATATAAGCTTTTAATAGCATTGCCAAATTTCCCTCAGGAGAGTTTATTCTAAAAATATTAGCAAGCAGCAATAGAGAATACCTATTATTGACATCTTCATTCATAATTATACTAAAGGAAGGCATTATCATTTAAGAATGTTTGTCAAAATATGACACTATCATTTCAGTTTACTTTTTAAAAGTTTTATAGACATGTTTAGTCCACCTTTAAGCTTAGAGTTGGTCATTTGAAAGTTGAAAAAGCTCCCCACATGTATTTTACATTTTAAGGTTGTATGGAGGAAGCTAAAGAGGCGGCTGAATGGCTAAGAGCATTTGTTGTTCTTGCAGAGGACCTGGTTCTATTCACAACACCCATACAGTAGCTCACAACCATCTGCGACTCCAGTTCCAGGGGATCCAACACCCTCTCCTGACCTCTGCAGGTAGCAGGCATGCATAGTGCACAGACATACATGCAAGCAAAACACTCAAACACATAAATATAAAACTACTTTAAAATGTATATTTATATTCCACATTGAGTGTATTTTGGACTTAATATTTACTTCAAATGATTAAAAAGATGTTCCAACATGGATCCTTTTGAAATTGAGTTGAACTACACACAGGATGTTGTGTCTTGCACAAAGAAATAGCTCCAGGAAGGTACACAATAGGCCTGAGTCCAAGGGTCCTTACATATGTAACAGTCCTCCTGGTGTGGAATCAGGGGCATGTTATTGTAGAGGTCACGCAGATTGGCTCAAGCCAGCTGCTGATAACCTTGGTTTGTGAAACATGGTGTCAGCTTGGCCTGTTATAACTCCCTGGATAATAATCTTGAAAATTAAATTTCCTCATCTATAGTTTGCTTCCAACATAGGAGGCTCTGCATATTTGGTCCCATAGGAATAACCTCATTTGAATTCTGAAACTAAAAGTATAAAAGCTAAAGAGATAATTAATTTTGAAGTCTCAAATTAATTCTTAATCTTTCTTGGCATTTACAACAACAACATTGATTTCTATCAGGATTTTTTAATGTAAATAGCTATATGATAGAACATAGAACTGCATTATCCAATTCACTTTAAGCTGCCACTAGATGAGGTCATTAAGTCATTGCCAAACTAATGTGTATTTATATCTAGATAACCATGACATTATCTGAATTTGAGTCAATGGAATGTCTATTTTTGAATTAAAATGTAGGCTATTAAATATTGCAAACAAAATCAATAATATTTCTCTATGTATATTCACAATAATCAATTAGAAAACATAATTTATTACACAGTGCAACTATTAGATTTGTAAATTACCCAGGAATAATTCTAACAAAAGATTTGCATGGCTTATACAGAAAATTGTTAAGTATTATTAAATAATTTAAAAGTCCTGAAAGATGAAGAGGTATACAATGTTTGTGAATAAAAAACTAAATAGTATATCAGTCTCTAATAATTAGATCAATTCCAGCTAAAATATTGTCAATACAATTTTTTTGTATAAATAAATGTGATGATACACATTTAATACATAATAATTCAAGATTTATAATAGTCTTCAATTACTTTATACAAATTAAATTAAATATTGTATGAATCCAAAAGAAATAGTAGGATAGCAAAAAACGGACAATTGGTTGGACAAAACAAATCTAATTCAAGTTAAATTTAAATATCACTTGAATCAAAAGTATATTCCAAGACAACTAAAAGCTTTGATATTTGAAACCATTCAAAGTAAGGGAAGAAAATTGAAGTTTGTTTTCATTCTGGGATAGGAAGAAATGTTCTAGAAACTATGAAACACAAAGAAAAATTATAATTTTTCCCATATTAAAATTTAAAACTCCTGTGTATCCAAAAAATACCACAAATAAGGAAAATGGAAAGTTTGAACTGTGAGGAAATTGTTGGAAACTATAATCAAATTCATGGCAGTAGGTAATTTCTAAGAAAAGTGAGAAGAAACAGGGAAGTTGTTTTATTTCTTTTTTTTAACAAAATATATAAAATGAATAGTCAAAAAATGCATTATCCTAAGATTTGAAAAGCTGATGGAGAGTGTGTGTGTGTTCACTATGTGTTTAAAATGCCATCACTTGAAGGGAAGAATTTGCTCTAACCTTCAGGATTTATTTGTAAAGAAACAAGCATATCTCACCACAGAAGTTCTGGCATCCCTAGTAATCTCAGAGTTTGGGCCCTTTTATTGTCATTTTTACAATGCTACCTTAGGTGTGAGTTTAGGAAGAAATAGGTTTAGAAAATAGCAAAGGGAATATAGTGGGGATTTTATTTTGCTTTGGGTTTGGAGATTTTGTTTTGTTTTTTAAATTCTAGAACTTTCTTATAGGAGCTAGAGTTATCATAACTGTTCTAGAAACAATGATTCCTCCAAACATATGCAGACTCTGAAAACTATGTTTCCAAACTCCTATATAATGGGTAGTAATTTTATAAATACATATTTCCTGTCATTGGTCTGATTACCAGACCTGCTCATCTTTAGCTCATCATCTACGCAAAGCAAAACTAGAAATCATCATCCCATTCTTTGCATGGCAATGCCCAGCTCTGCCAACCACATGCCTCCATGTCACGCTTCCTCTTTCACAATATGGCCTGCCATTTTTATATATACATTGAAACCTCTACTATGTAAATAATCACAGTAAATTGTGTCCTGAGTAGAGAAAAAAAAATCATAACCATAACATTACAGAAACTTGAGTCAAATTGTTAGAGCTACTTTTCTCAGGCTGTTATATCAGTCTTTACCAAGCCAAATTAACTTTTAAGGTCCCCCCTCCCCTTGGGTTGGTAGGTGGGGCTGGAGAATTGTCTCAGAGGTCATGAATGCATACTGCTCTTGCAGAGAACCTGGGTTTGGTTTCCAGTGTTCAGGGTGCCTTACTTTGCTGAGCCTGGAATATGGACCCCCTCATTCAATCACACGTGCATCAGCTTTCTCTTGTTGATGTTTTCCTTCACTGACTGGTTAAGATTTTCTTCGGTTCCTTTCCACAAGTCAGAAGCTTAGCTGGGTGATGTCTTGCTCTGAGGTCATCACTCCCTTTATACCATTTAGCAGCAACCTCTTCTTTAAACATTTTGTCTCCTTGAACACAGGACTCTGCTCCATTATACTTCCTGGTGCTCCTTTTCTCCTCAAACTGCATATTTTGTATTTTTCCTTGCTCAGCTTGCTCCCTTGCATTATACATCTGTATAAGAGTGACCACTAATAACCACACGACACAGTCAATACTAAACTGACTTGAAGTCTCCTATGTTAATGCCATTAATCCAAAACTCTTCGATTTAGCCTCAGGCAGAATTTTTTGGACAAGGGCAGAAGGCAGCCATAGTCTTCACTAAAGTATCATAAGAATGGTCTCTAGGCCACTTATTAACATTCTTCTCCTCTCAAACCTCTTGAGCCATACCCTCACAGTCCAAATCACCCCCAGGACTGTCTTCCATGCTTCTCCTGGGATGGCCCATTGAGCACCACTTAAAGCATACACTGGCTTTTCTAGTCCAAAGTCCCAAAGTCTTCCCTATCCCTCCAGCAAACATGGTCAGGCCTATGACAGCAATACCCCATTTCCTCTTACCAACTTCTCTCTTAATTGGTGTTCTATTGCTGTGAAGAGACACCATGACTAAGCCAACTCTTATAAGAGAAAGCATTTAATTGGGGGCTTGCTCACAGTTTCAGTGGTATAATCTATTACCATCATGGTGGGAGCATGGTGGTATGCAGGCAGACACTGGAGCAGTAGTGGAGAGTTGCATCCCGATCCACAGGCAGAGAGAGAGAGAGAGACTCGGCCTGGCATGGGCTTTTAAATCTCAAGCCTACTCCCAATGACATACTTTTCCAACAAAGCCACACTTCCTAATCCTTCTAATCCTTTCAAATAGTGTCACTCCTTTGTGACTCAGCATTCAAATATATGAGCCTAGGGGGCCATGGGCCATTCTTATTTAAACCACAACAGTTTGCTTGCTTGTTTTTTGTTTTGTTTTGTTTTGTTTCATTCTGGTTTGGTTTTCATTCTGCTTTCAACTTCTCATAAATCATGTCATATATCCGAGCTACCTGCCATAACTGAAAGAAAGCTTTGGCAACTCATCCTCATTTTATGAGACACAAGACTGGCATTTTTGTCTCTTTAGATATATTATCCTTACCCAGCATCACCTATCTGTTGTATAACTGTTGTTAAAAACTGTAGAATTCACATACCTTTTGATCTGATCAGGGAAGAGTTTCAAAGTACCAATACCAAACTTGTTTCTTATTTTAGAAAGTTGCAACAAAATACATCAAGAATGAAAATCACAAAGGATGAAGATGCTGTGTAAGGAAGACATTACCTGTTCCTTCAAGGTTTGCTTTGGGGATTATTAACTGGCTGGAGTTGTTCAACTAGCTGAAGTTTAGGAGGACACAAGATGGATTCTTTCCTACTTTCTGGTTTATATGGTACACTATATTGTGATTAATAGACTAACCAAATTTGTCACCTGGATATATTCAAAGGATTACCTGTAATATTATTTATATGTATCATTTCCTTATTGGTAGAGAAAATTTGAAAAATATAGTTAATGTTTTTCACTTGGCATTGCACTATAAACATAAAACATAATAAAACATAAGTGCTTAGAAGTTTTTATACCTTAAAGTTGGCCAAAGTGAGTATGAAAATTTTTTATTTATTTATTTATTTTTTTTTTTTTTTTTTGGTTTTTCGAGACAAGGTTTCTCTGTGTAGCTTTGCGCCTTTCCTGGAACTCACTCTGTAGCCCAGGCTGGCCTCGAACTCACGGAGATCCGCCTGGCTCTGCCTCCCGAGTGCTGGGATTAAAGGCGTGCGCCACCACCGCCCGGCTGAAAATTTTTTTATAAAATCAATGAGCACATTCTAGTCATGTTTTACTGGAATAATTGACTATACAATCATCAGCCAAAAAATTATGTACTCAACTCATGCCAAAATTATATCTCAAAAAATCATTCATTTAAATAATACTCCATAGCATTTCAAAGTATTGGGTTGGTTTTAATATACGTTGTTTATTGAGAATTCATTTCAAACCAAATTGTTTTGGCTCTTCTTGTCCTCTCTGATTTTTTTTTGTCACTTGATTGAGAAAAACAGTTCATTACCTGTAGAATCTTGAGTAGACATAAATCAGGGAACAACAGACTTTAAACAGATGTTTCTGTCCTGCCAGAAACTCCCAAATACCCAAGAGCCACTTCACAAATCACCACATAGAGGCTTATATTAATTATAAATGCTTGGCCAATAGCTCAGGCTTATTACTAGCTAACTCATGCATTTAAATTAACCCATATTTCTGTTTGTGCTTTGCCACATGATTGTACCTTTATTAGTATGGCACATTCATCTCCTGATCTCTCTGTGTCTGGCTGGTGACTCCTGACTCAACCCTTTTCCTTCCCATCATTCTTAGTTTGGTCAGCCCACCTATACTTCCTGCTTGGCTATTGGCCAATCAGCATTTTATTAAACCAATTTAACTGACAAATCTTTACAATGTACTAGAGAATTATTCCACAAAAACAGCCTAAACCCCATTTAGTGCCATTTCTACTAATTGCTTTAGAAATATCATTCATCTTATCCCAAGATCTATGGGTTGGTTGGGTTAAGGGTGCATTTCAGGTTCACTCAAATGTTGGTTTGTGTCATTTCCTGGAGCAGTACAGGCAGTGCTATTTGTATCCACAGCACATTCTTGTATACCACAGCATAAAGGGATTTGTGGTAACACAGAGCACTTCTTCCTCACTCCACAATAAGTGTCATAGCTGAAGGTTACAGTCTAAGTATACAAAAGCAAATAAATTATGACTATATCCACTTAAATTGCCATAAAAATGAAGGCTCAACAGTGATATCTTCCCATAATAATTTTAATCAGTAAAAACCATACTCCATACTTTATAAAAACAGATATGAGGTTTTCAACAACATCAGTTATGGAATGGGCAAATGTACTTAAAATGCATAAAATCAATTTAAAACATGTACCACAAGTCAATTTAATAAACTCAATATCTTAATTTTCTTTTGGAATTTTAGAATTTCACATAGAGGGCCATTGGGTTTTATTGCTCTGGATTAAAAAAAAAACCAGTGCATCTCCAGTTATGGCTACTTTTCTTCTTTATATTCCAATGTACAGTCATTCAGAGTTACTTTAAAAGGTAAAAGGGAATGTGTACGGGATGTTTCTAGGGAAACTAGGGAAAAGATGATGGTGTTGGTTGGGTCCTCTCATGAAGCATCTTACCCTTAAAACCTCCCTCAGTTCTTCACATGGCTCAAAGCTGCCTTGGTGGCTACACGGAGCTTTAGCAGCACCATCTCCTTCTGATCCATTGGTGCTGTCACTGTTCTATTTCTGTGCCTTACAAGAGGAGTGGGTGGATAAACGCATAAGGAGAATATTTTAGAGATGTTGCGATTGACCTGGCAAGATTTAAATACACAGGGCATAGCAGGTAATGATAATTTGCCTCTCAAATGATCTTGGTGCTCAGGGTAGCCATGTAAGGTGATGGACATCTACAAGGTAGGGCCTATGAGAAGATCCTTAGGTCAATGAGGGCATACACTTACAAGAGACTGTAGAGCCCTTGCCTCCTGGTTTACTGTTTCAATATGTGATCTCTTTTTCCCATGGGTACTCGTGACATTGGCATCTACCATGAGGCAACACAACCAAGGTGTCCCTAGCCACAGTCTGGGTATCACCATTAGATGTTCAGACCCTAAACCTGCGAGCTAAATATTTCCTTTTGTTTAATGAGCCTATTTCAGCTGCTTTGTTTGGGTAACAGGAAGAACTAAGACAATGAGTTCCAATTTCTTTCATGTATTTTGTTCTTCGTTTCCTAAAAGGCTCCTACCTCTTGTCTTGAATCTCAGTTGCTTTGGTAACATACTTATCCATGCCACTTAAAACAAGGATTGTCTCTTGCAGCTTCCTTCTGAGCCTCTTGGAACACTTGCCTGTGACACTCAGCTTCTAGGCTTTGAAGAGGCCCAGGAAAGCACATGGAAAGATCTACATGAAAAGAACTGATGTCCCCAACTGACAAGCAAGTTGAGTAACCATCCAAGAGCCAGTGGCACTTAGACAAATCTGACTCAACCATTTTGAGTCAAACCAGTTGACACTACGTGGAACAGAGTAAAGCTGTTCCTGCTGCAGCTCCCTCCAACTGAGCAATTAATAAAAGATTTATGTTGTGGAATATTCCTTTACACTGTGCAAAGATATGTCTCTCTGATTGGTTTAATAAAAACACAGAGCAAGCAGGATAGGCAATATAGAGATGAGGTAATAAAGCCAAGAGACAGAAAGTAAATTAATAGAAACGGGTTAATTTAAGTTAAAAGAGCTAGCTAGAAACAAGCCTAAGCTATCAGCTGCACTTTTATAATTAATATTAAGTCTCTGTGTCATTATTGGGGAGCCACAGTCCCAGTGAAGTCTGACTGTAGATTTAAATGATGATTGTACTGACCTAACAAGATTTGAGTGGTTGTTACGTAGAAACAGATAACTGCAAAGAAGAGAAGGGTAGAGGAGAAAAACAGCATTTCAAGTTTGAATAAACAGAGGACGTCACATTTTGTAGAAAAGGAAGTGAGAAGACAGAATATTCTATGCAAATAGTATGGGGAAGTGGATGGATGAAGAATATTGTTGGAAAACAATGAAAATTAATATTTGGGTTTAGTTCAAATTATTAATCAATTTATTAGACATGGTGTCATAGCTACCTACGTAAAAATCTAAACCCAATGAAATCTACGGTTAATTGCAAGTTTATTTGAGAATACACACAGCAGATAGTGAAAGCTTTTATGCTGAAAAATATTAGATTCACTATTAAATTACTTGAATAATATATTGTAATAGCTGTCATAAAAACATGAGTTATTTAAAAAAAAATTGAAGATCACCATTGGTCTCTTTATCTTCCCCAGGAAGTAAATTACCTTGAAGTGCATGAACCAGCAGCATCAAAACCACATTGACTTTCTCCCTGCTTCTGAGTTTAAAACAGCTTCGGCTCTCATTCAGCAAGTTCCAGTAGAGGTCTTGGTTATGAATAAGTATGATCCCATTAAGGAAGAGGGAGCAGAAAGACTCTATGAGCCAGAGGTGATGGACGTTTACAGCAAAACAGTATTTGCCAGAAACGACAGGGCGATCACGCATATGAGCACATGGTAGCTGTGGTTGCACGCACAAGACCTGTGCAAGATCACGCCAGCCAGAATTACAGCTTGGGCAAAGGGAGGAGCTCACAGAGTCCCACCCACTAGCTGAGGAGCAACTGGAAATCGATGGCTGCTTGGGGAGGGAGAGTTAGTTTTCTTCAGAGATATAGCCCCTGAGAGGCAATGCACGCTCCATTACATTGCCATATACCTACGCGCACACAGGCAGCATCATTGGACTCAGTGGGGTGTTTTTTTTTTTTAAGTGTACATGAAGTTGGGTGTAAAAAGTGGTGAGGAAATTTGAAAAGGAATTGGAGGAGAGGATACGGAGGGTAGATTGGATCAAAACACATAATATGCATGTGTGAAATTTTCAAATAACTAAAAATGCGAAAGATACCATCCCAAATAAGTTAAGCTTAAGTGAGAATAATTATATTTAAATTCATAAAAGTAAACGTGTGTGTGTGTGTGTGTGTGTGTGTGTGTGTGTGTGTGTGTAATGGTGATATACCTATTAAAGGGTATTTCCTGAGATTATGTATACATGCAAGTTAATTTAAATGTTCACTGTGGCATACAAGGTAGCCACATGACAACCACATTGGCCTCTTTTTTCCTCCCCAAACAAGCAAAATTCCCAAGTGATCTGTCACTTTAACCAATAATCTGAAAGAAAACCAGCAGTGGAGTGAGCGGACACGCCTCTGTTTATTTATAAAGACCCAAACCGTCTAGAGTGTCAACCCTTGCCTTGACGGAGGTTCCTCCCGCCAAATGGTTTCCAGTACGTGCCTTCTGCCAACCAGTTGATAGGGAGGTTTGCGTTTTGCCCTCTGTCCACTCTGCTAAGGGGAAACATGACAACCGCTTTTAATAAAAGCTCCAGTAAATAGACTCTGAAAGTTGAAATTGGAATTATTTAACTTCTTTTAGTGTGTCAAAAAGTTTTAAGGACATAACCCCTAACATCTCTCTGGTGAACCAAAAGTCAATATATTTTTACAGCACTTAACTTTCCATGGAATGGCTTTCACCTCTTTCACAACAGGTCAAAACAGAAAACGTATTTGAATCCCTTTCATCTGCTCTCCCATTAACTGAAAATATTCTTTGTATGTTCAGTGCCTGTCACATCTGAAGAAAGGGAGCAGAAATGATGGGGGGGTGGGCGGGAGGCAGGAAAAGGAGAGAAACCGGAGGGGCTCCTTCAGAAATCTGCTGTTGATCCACCCCGAGAATTAAATGACACTTGTGCTCAGTCGCTGTGACTTACAGCTTCTGTACAGAACACCACACAAATAGATGCGTGCGCCTCTAGGGTTTTTATTTCACAAATTGGGAAAACGAAATTTGTACAGGGGAAACGTGATTAGAAACGTGAAGCCCGTCTCTTCTCTCAACACGCGGGTGTTGTCACTGGTGGGCTTTGTGACACCGCCTTCATCAGGGCCACCCTAACAGGCTAAAAAAATCTAGATGTTACCAGGTCCTGCTGCTAAACGTATGACAACCATGTGAATGCTCTTTCCCGTCCTGCGATGGTGATTAACAACTCTCCTTAGAATTTAGCTTTAATTTGCAAAGCTTCCAAAAGTTGAAGTTACATGGAACCGAGTCCTGCTCACTGTGCTGTACAATGCCCCACAATGGGTCTCAGGGGAGGCTGTGATAAAGATCATGATGAGCACTTCAGTGACCACACGTAACAGATATACTCTGGGCTTTCTGTGTACTTCATTATCGTACCGGATGCATTACGCCAGGCACAAATGGGAGCTCTTTTTTCCAAATAAAGAAGCAGAGGTTGAGTAATTTTGTAAGGAGTCAATTCAGGGTCTCAACTCTAAATAATCTCTCACGATGCCCGCTTGCACGCACAAATATTGCCTGTGCTAAAAAAAAAAAAAAAAAAAGTTGCATGTGTGGCCAGCATCACAGCGGCGGTTGGTGGACAGTACAGAAGTTCCCATGTTTCTTTAGATAAACCGACCTTCACAATTCTCCTTCGGAGGGACATATGGGGAGAGGCTGGAGGTCAGGAGGAAGGGGAACTAAACTGTAGGGTAAAGGGGCCAGCCAAAGAAACTCACCTTGACCCTGAAACCAGAGCCAAAGAAACCCACCTGACCCTGAGACCAGAGCCAAAGAAACCCACCTGACCCTGAGACCAGAGCCAAAGAAACCCACCTGACCCTGAAACTAGAGCCAACGAAACACACTTCGGCCCTGAAACCAGAGTCAGAAAAACAAACACACCCTGGCCCTGAAACCAGAGCCAAAAGGTTAAAAAGGGCCAGTGAAAGAAACACACTTAGGCCCTGAAACTAGAGCCAAATCTGCCCCTGACCAACTGAACATGAAACGAACCAATCCCTGAGCAGGAAAATCAACCAATCCCTGAGCAGGAAAATCTAGCCTATCTGAGCTTGTCCAAGCTCAAGGGGATCAAAACCTGACCAATTCTCACCCTGAAAATCTCCACCTTGGAAAAACTCCACCCTTAAGAAGCCCTATATAAGCCCGGAGCCTGTTCAATTTGCTGCTCCCTTTTTCCACCATGGAGAGGTCACTGCTCTCCTGGATTCTTCCCTCCCAATAAATCTCGTGAATGAGGTTTGGGTGAGACCTTCTTTCACTGAAATGGAGTGAGGCAGAGAAGTACCATCTTTCCCTAGCAGAGCAGAGTTGTTAAACTCCCGAGGACCTGAGCAGAACTGTTAACAACTTTTCTGGGGAAACCCTCCCCTGCAGGAGCAGAGTTGTTGTTACGTTAGGAAAACCTTTCTCTGGAAACCTTTCCCTGGAGCAGGGCTGTAAGCTGCTACTGGTGACTGTGGTACTACTCCCTGGCTCTGGACTGCCAGGATCCCTTTCCATCTGAGCGGTAATACTTATAGGTACAAGAGGGAGTAGTGGGGTGGTATGATTAAAGTATATTCCCTACATGTAGAACAACTTTTTGTAGGTGTGCAAGACCTGGAACTCATGTGATCTTTCTTTATTGAGGTCAACATGGTAAGCCTTATAAGTTGTGTAGGGCCCCTCAAGATACCCAAGAGTAAATATTGAATCACAGAATTGTGGGACGCAATTAATTCTACACACTCAATATCAAGCCTTGGGTTTGGTGTTAGGGATATGTCAATCCTGACATGCAGTTTCCTGATCCTCACAAGCCCAGAGTGGTACCTCAATGTACCATTTCCCCAAATGTACCATTGCCCTGAAGGTACCACTGCACAGAACCTACCGTTGCATAGGATGTACCGTTGCCCTGAACATATGTTGCCCGAAACATACCGATGCCCAGAAAGTACTGTTGCACAGAACATACCATTGCACAGAATGTAACGTTGCCCCAAATGTACATTTGCACAGAACATACCATTGCACAGAACATATTTTTGCACAGCAAAACAAACTGCAATACTGTCACCGGGGTGAGGAAGGAAGCAAACACCACCAATCACTTGGAGGTTCCAAATCGCTAGGGCTGAAAATAGTTAAACTGGCAAAAACTTAGTGTGTATCGGTTACCTTAAAGCAGACAGAAATTCTGATATATCCAGGGATAAACAGGCTCCCTCTTTCAAAAATAAATGTCAAAATGTCATTCTGTTAGGAGTCCCCAAACCAAAGCCAATGCACTTTAAATTCCATCAGAGGGCTAAAACAAAGAAGGAATGTAGGAGACGCCTTGAACATGCTTGGATACTCTTACATGCAGTTAAAGCATTTTAATTCCACTTGCAAATGTTCTTGGTGTTGAGTGACAAGGAGAAACTAAGATGCTTTGCCAGGAGCAGCAAGTGAGTCTGAGACCTGTGCCATTGACTTTCGCATTTAACTTTTCCTTTTGAAACCCTTGTCTGCTCTACCGTCATGGGACTGCAAATACATTCTTTTGTTTATTCTCTCTGCTCTGTGCTTCCATTCATGTGTCTCCTTCATGTGAGGGAGCTAGGATCCCTAGAGTGAAAATAT